TTGGACTCGTGCTTGCTGAGGTGTTCCAGCAAGTGTCTCTGTAGATCTTAGAAAACTATTTCTTGATTTAAGTCGTTGCCGTGTTGCCTGATATCCGAACAGGGGATGGGCCGGAGATGTCACTGCCTTACTGCTTATTACAGGGAAAACCAGCTGATTCCTAATCTATCTAAAACTCCTCTGTTACGCCAACTCCACTGGCTGCCGATCTGCTGCCAAACACAATTCAAAATGCTGGTTTTAACCTTTAAAGCTCTAAATGGTTCTGGCCCAGACTACATGTCCGAACGTACCTCCTGCTATGAATCATCACGAAGTTTAAGATCATCTGGAGAGGCCCTGCTCTTGATCCCACCTCCATCGCAAACGCGATTGGTGGAGATGAGAGACAGGGCCTTCTCAACAGTGGCTCCCCCATCTGTGGAATACCCTCCCCAAAGACATCAGACTGGCCACCTCCCTCCTGTCCTTTAGAAGGAAACTTATTGAACTCACTGCTCTGGAATCACAGGATTTGCAGTTTGGTGAGGCCGCTGCCAGGGCTAAGCTCAATGCTTTGGGACTCTGAGAGCTGTAGTTTCCCAAGGTCTCCAGCCTTCTCTGCCCAATAGTGCAAACTACAAATCCTAGAGTGGCAAAGCATTGAGCTCGATGCTCTGGAATCATGGGATTTGCAGTTTGGTGAGGCCGCTGCCAGGGCTATGGAATCCCGGGGGTTGCAGTTTGATGCCACTGTAGCTGTCAGGGCTATGCAATCCTGGGAGTTGTAGTTTCCCACGGTCTTGAGCCATCTCTGCCCTAGTGTGCTGCAGCCTCACCAAACCAAACTACAAATCCCAAGATTCCACAGTGTTTTGGGACTCTGGGAGTTGTAGTTTCCCAAGGTCTCGAGCCTTCTCTGCCCAAGAGTGCAAAGTACAAATCCCAGAGTGCCACAGCAGTGTCATTTAAAGTGGTCTCAAACTGCATTAATTATACAATGGAGATGCACCCGGAGAGGGGTAAATAAATATCTCACCAAACTACAACTCCCATGGTCCTGTAGCACTGAGGCATGGTTGTTAAAGTGGTGCAAAACTGCATTCCATCCACAAAGGAGATGCACCAAGGATAATGAATAAGAAATGGCAATCATAAAAGAAATAATGGTGGCTTTTGTCCTTGTATTGATTTCTTTAATGGGCCTCTAATGGAGCCAACCCACTGCAATTTGAAGATTGCATTGCATTGCAAGGAGGGCCCGGCAATTATCCTAACAAGATTTGGGGACAGAAAGAAGACCATGCACGGGGAAATAAAAAACGTGGATTTCTAATAGGAAAGGCCAATATCTCATTTGCTTTGAGTTTTCTTTAAAACACATGTAATTTTTAAAAGCTTTTCCAGGCCTTGGAAGCCATATGGCTCGAGGCTTAGCTCATTACCAAGGTTTTGTGGGTTTAGAAGCCTATTAGCTCGGGTTAAGCTGGTGGGTTCAAGAAGGTGGGCTTTCAGATTGATCCATTTCCACCCCAAGGAAATAAATATATTTATTTATCGCTCAAATAATCCCCAACTCCATAATTTTAGCCAAAATATGTGGCTGGTCGTTCAGAATACATCTAGGATTAATGCGGTTTATACTTCTTTAACTTCCCTGGTTCAAGACTATGGGATCCTGGGAGATGTAGCTTGGCATTCTTGGGCAGAGAACGCTCAAGACCTTGGAAAACTACAATTCTCAGAGTCTAATAGCATTGAGCCATTGGCACTCCAAGTGGGGTCAAACGACATTCATTTTTCTACAGCCATGGCTCAATGCTGTGGAATCTATCCTTTGGGAAACTACAACTCTCAGAACCCATTAGCATTGAGCATTGGCAGTCCAAGTGGGATCTAACTGCCTTCATTATTGTACAGCCATAGCTCAATGCTCTAGAACCCTGGGATTTGTAGTTTGGTGAGGCAAAGATGGCCAAAGGCCTTGAAGAACTAGAACTCCCAGGACTCCGTAGCATTGAGCCATTGGCAGTTCCATTTGGGTGCATGTGTGTGTATCAAACTCCATTAATTCTACAGTATGGACCCACTCCTAGGGAAACTACAACTCCCAGGATCCATTAGCATTGAGCCATTCCAAGGGAGCTCAGACTACATTCATTCTACAGTAGGGACCTATCCTTTGGGAAACTACAACTCCCAGCACCCATTAGTATTGATCCATTGGCAGTCCAAGTGGGATCAAACTGCCTTAATTATTGTACAGCCATGGCTCAATGCTCTGGAATCCTGGGATTTGTAGTTTGGCGAGGCAGAAATGGCCAAAGACTTTGTAAAACAAGACATCCCAGGACTCAATAGCATTGAGCCATTGGCAGTTCAATTTGGATGTGTGTGTGTACCTAACTCCATTCATGCTACAGTATGGACCTACCCCTAGGGAAACTACAACTCCCAGGACCATTAGCATGGATCCATTGACAGTCCAAGTGCCAATGGCTCAATGCTCTGGAATCCTCAAATTTGTAGTTTGGCGAAGCAGCGATGGCCCAAGATCTTGTAAAACTAGACCTCCCAGGACTCCCTAGCATGGATCCATTGGCAGTCCAAGTGGGATCAGGATCGAACCGCCTTCACTGTTCTACAGCCATGGCTCAATGCTCTGGAATCCTGGGATTTGTAGTTTGGCAAGGCAGCGATGGCCCAAGACCTTGTAAAACTAGACTTCTCAGGACTCAATAGCATTGAGCCATTGGCAGTTCAATTTGGGTGTGTGTGTGTGTGTATCTAACTCCATTCATTCTACAGTACGGACCCACCCCTTGGGAAACTACAACTCCCAGGACCATTAGCATGGATCCATTGGCAGTCCAAGTGCCAATGGCCCAATGCTCTGGAATCCTGAGATTTGTAGTTTGGCGAGGCAGAGATGGCCCAAGACCTAGTAGAACTAGACCTCTCTGGACTCCATAGCATGGATCCATTGGCAGTCCAAGTGGGATCGAACCGCCTTCACTGTTCTGCAGCCATGGCTCAATGCTCTGGAATCCTGGGATTTGTAGTTTGGTGAGGCAGCTATGGCCAAAGGCCTTGTAGAACTAGACCTCCCAGGACTCCATAGCATTGAGCCATTGGCAGTTTCAATTTGGGTGTTTGTGTGTATCAAACTCCATTCATGCTACAGTATGGACCCACCCCTAGGGAAACTACCATTAGCATGGATCCATTGGCAGTCCAAGTGGTAATGGCTCAATGCTCTGGAATCCTGAAATTTGTAGTTTGGTGAAGCAGCGATGGCCCCAGACCTTGCAAAACTAGACCTCTCAGGACTCCATAGCATGGATCCATTGGCAGTCCGAGTGGGATCGAACCGCCTTCACTGTTCTACAGCCATGGCTCAATGCTCTGGAATCCTGAGATTTGTAGTTAGGCGAGACAGAGGTGGCCCAAGAATCATAGAATCAAAGAGTTGGAAGAGACCTCATGGGCCATCCAGTCCAACCCCCTGCCAAGAAGCAGGAATATTGCATTCAAATCACCCCTGACAGATGGCCATCCAGCCTCTGTTTAAAAGCTTCCAAAGAAGGAGCCTCCACCACACTCCGGGGCAGAGAGTTCCACTGCTGAACGGCTCTCACAGTCAGGCAGTTCTTCCTCATGTTCAGATGGAATCTCCTCTCTTGTAGTTTGAAGCCATTGTTCCGCGTCCTAGTCTCCAAGGAAGCAGTAAACAAGCTTGCTCCCTCCTCCCTGTGGCTTCCTCTCACATATTTATACATGGCTATCATATCTCCTCTCAGCCTTCTCTTCTTCAGGCTAAACATGCCCAGCTCCTTAAGCCGCTCCTCATAGGGCTTGTTCTCCAGACCCTTGATCATTTTAGTCGCCCTCCTCTGGACACATTCCAGCTTGTCAATATCTCTCTTGAATTGTGGTGGCCAGAATTGGACACAATATTGTAAAACTAGACCTTGTAAAACTAGACTTCCCAGGACTCCATAGCATTGAGGCACTGGCAGTTCAATTTGAGGGTGTGTGTATCAAACTCCATTCATTCTACAGTATGGACCCACCCCTTGGGCAACTACAACTCCCAGGACCATTAGCATGGATCCATTGGCAGTCCAAGTGCCAATGGCTCAATGCTCTGGATTCCTGAAATTTGTAGTTTGGCGAAGCAGCGATGGCCCCAGACCTTGCAAAACTAGACCTCCCAGGACACCATAGCATGGATCCATTGGCAGTCCAAGTGGGATGGAACCGCCTTCACTGTTCTACAGCCATGGCTCAATGCTCTGGAATCCTGGGATTTGTAGTTTGGTCAGGCAGAGATGACCAAAGACCTTGTAAAACGAGACCTCCCAGGATTTAATAACATCGAGCCATTGGCAGTTCAATTTGGGGTGTGTGTGTGTGTGTGTATCAAACGCCATTCATTCTACAGTCAGGACTCACCCTTTGGGAAACTACAACTCCCAGGACCATTAGCATGGATCTGTTGGTAGTCCAAGTGGGTTCACTGTCCTACATAGGGAAACTACAACTCCCAGGACCAATAGCATGGATCCACGGGCAGTCCAAGTGGGATTGAACCGCCTTTACTGTTCTACAGCCATGGCTCAATGCTCTGGAATCCTGAGATTTGTAGTTTGGCGAGGCAGCTATGGCCTAAGACCTTGTAAAACTAGACTTCCCAGGACTCCATAGCATTGAGCTACTGGCAGTTCAATTTGGGTGTGTGTATCAAACTCTATTCATTCTACAGTAGCGAGGGAAACTACAACTCCCAGGACCCATTACCATTGAGCCATTCCAAGGAAGCTCAAACTCCATCCATTGATAGAGAGAGCAGGGAAAGGAGAGGATCCAGGAGCCGCGCAGGCGCAGAAGCGTTAGTTCGAGCTCGCCTTTCCCACGCCTCTCTCTGGAGGGGAGGGGGGAAGAGCGAGTGATGCGTGCGCCTGCGCTGTGAGCACCCGGGGGCGAGTGCGCACGCGCGGTGGCTCCCCCGCCCTCCTGCTCTTGGCCCCGCTCCTTCCCTGGCGCCGCCATCTTGGATGGCGCCTGTGGGCGTCGGGTGTCAAACCCGGTTCTGGCGTCGCCGCGGAGGGGAATCCGGAGCCGCTCCGGAGCAGCAGGTGAGGCTGGGGCTGGAACTGAGGGAGGGGAGAGAGTTCCTCCCTGGTTCATTCGGGTTATTCGTACTCTAAATGGAAATATATTTCAGGGGAGATGTTTTGGAGGGGGGGGTCTCTGTGAGGGGGAAAAAGAGGCCTCTTGGAGGGGTTTTCTTAAAGGGCCGCAAACTGGAATCTCTGCAGGGAGGAGGGCCTTCTGGGTGGTGGTGGCTGTTGCTGTTATTATTATACTTGTAAAGTCAAGCCGAGCCTTATTCTTATTAGATATTACTTGTATTATCTTATATATATTATATATAATGTAATACAATATAATAATACAATATTATAATTATATATTTTATATTGCATATAATATTACTTATAATATTATAATATAATGTTATTATACTTGTAAAGTCAAGCTGAGCCTTATTCTTAATAGATATTACTTTTATTATCTTATATATATTATATACGTATACTATTTATAACATTATAATGTAATACAATATAATAATAATACAATATTATAATTATATTTATTTATATTGCATGTAATATTACTAATAGTATTATAATATAATGTTATTATACTTGTAAAGTCAAGCTGAGCCTTATTCTTAATAGATATTACTTTTATTATCTTATATATATTATATACGTATACTATTTATAACATTATAATGTAATACAATATAATAATAATACAATATTATAATTATATTTATTTATATTGCATGTAATATTACTAATAGTATTATAATATAATGTTATTATACTTGTAAAGTCAAGCCAAGCCATTATTATTATATATTACTTTTATTATCTTATATATATTATATACGTATAATATTTATAATATTATAATGTAATACAATATAATAATAATACAATATTATAATTATATATTTTATATTGCATGTAATATTACTTCTACTATTATAATATAATGTTATTATACTTGTAAAGTCAAGCTGAGCCTTATTATTATTAGATATTACTTTTATTATCATATACATATAATATTTATAACATTATAAGTAATACAATATAATAATAATACAATATTATAATTATATATATATATATTGCATGTAATATTACTAATAATATTATAATATGTTGTTATTATACTTCTCAAGTCAAGCTGAGCCTTATTATTGTTAGATATTACTTTTATTATCCTATATATAATATTTATAACATTATAATGTAATATAATATAATATAATAATACAATATTATAATAATATAATATTACTTATAATATTATAATATAATGTTGTTATTATTATACTTGTAAAGTCAAGCTGAGCCTTATTATTGTTAGATATTACTTTTATTATCATATATATAATATTTATAACATTATATAATGTAATACAATATGATATTAATAATAATACAATATTATAATTATATATTTTATATTGCATGTAATATTACTTATAATATTATAATATAATGTTATTATACTTGTAAAGTCAAGCCGAGCCATTATTTTTAGATATTACTTTTATTATAATATATGTATATATATATAATGTAATACAATATAATGTTAATAATAATACAATATTATAATTATGTATATTTTATATTGCATGTAATATTACTTACAATATTATAATATAATGTTGTTATTATTATACTTGTAAAGTCAAGCCGAGCCTTATTATTATTAGATATTACTTTTATTATCTTATATATATTATATGCGTATAATATTTATAACATTATAATGTAATACAATATTATAATTATATATTTTATATTGCATGTAATATTACTAATAATATTATAATATAATGTTGTTATACTTGTAAAGTCAAGCTGAGCCTTATTATTATTAGATATTACTTTTATTATCATATATATATATATATATATACATATAATATTTATAACATTATAATGTAATACAATATAATAATAATACAATATTATAATTATATATTTTATATTGCATGTAATATTACTTATAATATTATACTATAATGTTGTTATTATTATACTTGTAAAGTCAAGCCAAGCCTTATTATTATTAGATATTACTTTTATATATATATATATACACACACACACACATACATATAATATTTATAACATTATAATGTAATACAATATGATATTAATAATGTAATTATATATTTTATATTGCATGTAATATAACTAATAATATTATAATATAATGTTATCATACTTGTAAAGTCAAGCTGAGCCTTATTCTTATTAGATACTACTTTTATTATCTTATATATATTATATACATATAATATTTATAACATTATAATGTAATACAATATAATAATACAATATTATACTTATATATTTTATATTGCATGTAATATTACTTATAATATTATAATATAATGTTGTTATTATTATACTTGTGAAGTCAAGCCGAGCCTTATTATTATTAGATATTGCTTTTATTATCTTATATATATTATATACATATAATATTTATAACATTATAATGTAATACAATATAATAATAATACAATATTATAATTATATATTTTATATTGCATGTAATATTACTTATAATATTATAATATAATGTTGTTATTATACTTGTAAAGTCAAGCCAATATTATTAGATATTACTTCTTATAATATATAATATTATAATGTAATACAATATGATATTAATAATAATACAATATTATAATTATATATTTTACATTGCATGTAATATTACTAATAATATTATAATATAATGTTGTTATTATACTTGTAAAGTCAAGCCGAGCCATTATTTTTAGATATTACTTTTATTATCATATATATATATATATATATATATATATATATACACACACATATAATATTTATAACTTTATAATGTAATACAATATGATATTAATAATAATACAATATTATAATTATATATTTTATAATGCATATAATATTACTAATATTATAATATAATGGTATAGTACAATCTATATAAATAAAAATGTAATGTTAGTTTGTGGGATTAATATAACTCAAAAACCACTGGGCGAATTGACTTATTGAATTATTAGAAGGGAGTGGTTTTCCAGGTTGGAAAAGCTGAACCTTATTGTTAGATATTATATTTATTATGTTATAATATTAATATCAATATTCAGGAAACTACATTTGACGAGGCTTGGTTTGGGGTCGCCTCCAAAAACATATAAATTATAATAAAATGAGGAGGGAGTGGCTTTCTAGGTCAGAACAACTGAGCATTATATTATTATTTTTTATTAAGTAAACTATTGGATGGAGCTTTGTTTGTTATTATTGTATTATTATTATTAGAGGGAAGTGACTTTCTGTGTTGGAAAAGCTGAACCTTATTATTTGATATTATTTTATATTGTTATGTATTATAATAATAAATTATTATTTTTAAGGAAACCATTTGCTGGGGCTTGGTTTGGGGTTTCCCTCAAAAACATATAAATATAATTAAATGAAGTGGGAGTGGCTTTCTAGGTTGAAAAAGCTGAGCGTTTTTATTATTATTTTTATAATGTTATAAAATATGTTATAATAATATATTATTAATTTTAAGAAAACTATATTTGATGGAACTTGGTTTAGGGTTTCGATCAAAAGCATATAAATTATAATAAAAGCAGGAGGGAGTGGCTTTCTAGGTTGGAAAAGCTGAGCATTATATTATTATTTTATTAAGGAAGCTATTTGATGGAGCTTGGTTTGTTTGTTGTTATGATTGTATTATTATTATTTTCATGTCAGGAGCGACTTGAGAAGCTGCAAGTCGCTTCTGGTGTGAGAACTGGCCATCTGCAAGGACGTTGCTCAGGGGATGCTCAGATGTTTTTTGATGTTTTTTGATGTTTTACCATCCTTGTGGGAGGCTTCTCTCATGTCCCCACATATTATTATTATTATTAACTTTATTTGTACCCCGCTAGCATCTCCCGAAGGACTCGATGCGGCTTACACGGGCCGAAGCCTCAAAACACAATACAATAGAAAAACATAACACAACAATAAACAAAGCAAATCAAAACAATTAAGCAAAATAACAACAATGAACAATACATCAATACATCAAGACACTATTAAAACTGGTTCGGCCGGTGCAATGGGGTACAGGGGTTAAAAGTGCTGAGATGGCAGGAGGAACGTAGGATTAAAAGTGCGGTGTGCAGCAACATTGGTTGTGCTAAAGTGCTTCTAGGACTTGGGATGGGGGATTCCTAATCTGCGAAGGCACATCGGAACAGCCAAGTTTTTAGGTTCCTTCTGAAAACTGCTAGAGTAGGGGCCTGACGGAGCTCTTTTGGAAGGGCATTCCAAAGTCGGGGGGCCGCCACAGAGAAAGCCCTGTCCCGTGTCCCCACCAAACACATAGGGAGCTGGAGCTCACAGAGGGAGCTCATCCATGCACTCCTGGGATTCAAACCTCAATTTTCAGTTGTACCACCAGGAGCTCCTCTTGTATTATTATTAGAGGGGAGTGGCTTCTGGGTTGGAAATCTATTATTATTATTATTATTATTATTATTAGTAGTAGTAGTAGTAAGAAAACTATATTTGGTGGGCTTAATTTGGGGTCTCTCTTAAAGGCATAGAGATATAATAAAATAAAGGAGGAGTGGCTTTCTGGGTTGGAAAAGCTGAGCCTTATTATTGTTATTGTTACTGTATTATAATAACAATTATATTCATTTATTATTATATATTTAAATGAATTTCGATGGAGCTGGGTTTGGGGGTCTTCCTCAAAGGCATAGAAGAAATAATAAAAATGAAGAGGTAGTGGCTTTCTGGGCTGGAAAAGCAGAGCCTTATTCTTTTTCATTACACACACACACACAATTTTGGTGGACCTTGGTTTGTGCAACTTTTTAGAGGTCTCCCTCAAAGGCATAGAAGATATAATAAAATGGGGAAGGAGTGGCTTTCTGGATTGGAAAACCTGTGATTTCGTTATTGATGTTGTTATTTAAAATATTGGGGAGGGATTTTATTTGGGGTGATGATAGTATTTGCAGGATTGCCCTCAGGCT